CCAACCATGGCTGTCACATATGTAATGTGCAAAATGATCAGTATACTAATTTTAATTATGATTATGTACAAAATGCTTGTTTTCACCAGCAGACAGAAGAACGATTCATAGAGATTGAAGGCCAAAATTCCAAAGTAAATAAGGAATGACTAGCAGTAGAGTATAGATTGGTTAAGCCAGGACCATTAAGGATACTTAAATAGGACCTGCATACCCAAACACCACAAGATGCATACCATTCCTTGGCTGGAAAAGCATGTACCCTTTTAGAGGTGACATTTAATGTATTTAATCTAAATGGTGAAATTGTTTTTCTAAAATATTGGAAAGATATAGAGAAACCTACCAATTGGTATTGAATGCCTAATCCCTTATGACACCGTCAAAGTTTCATGTTCTCCGATGTGTTAAGGCTTGCGATGCTAATGCCGTTTATACTTCGAAGATTTTTAAAGCCTAATTATGTCAAGACAGAGATTAAGAATAATTGGAGAGTGAAACAAATATCTATTGTATCAAAATTATTTATTTGCTAGGCAATTGAAGCCAAAGTATTAAAACTTGCATTTTTACTTTCTATGACAACAAATAGTTATCAAGAATTGCAAGAATTACTTGAAAAAAAATACAAAATCTTGTTAAAAGTAAGTAATTAAAGTTTAACATTAATCGATTTAAATACTCTAAATTTAATACATTCAGAAAGAATGTTAATTTCAGAGTATTTTACATCTGAAGATGCATATACTTAGTTGGTTATAGAAAGACTTTCATATGATTGGCTGTTTAAATCAATTTAATTTTACATTATTTATGCAGTTTAAAGTACTCTTTTAAAAAAAATAAAAACACAAAGAATAAGTCAAAAAGAAGTATATAAAAAGTTTTATTAGAATTATAGGACTTTACAATTAAAAATAATCAAAATCTTATTTTGTTTTAATCTATTTTTAAGCAGTTATTGTTATGCTAATTCCTCTAAAACAAAATAGAATTTTAATTATTTTTAATAGTTGAGTCCTACAACCCTAATAAATCTTTTTAATTATTTTCAATAGTTGAGTCCTACAACTCTAATAAACCTTTCTATATACTTCTTTTTTACTTATTCTTTGTAGTTTTATTTTTTTAAAAAAAGTACTTTAAACTG